ACCCTCACACAACACTTAGGGGTATGAAAAATACATAATAGCCGATTCTCAGACATATTGAATATGGATATAAAAAACTTCATAAAAATCGCTCAAACCATATCGAAGGAGTATGGTAACTAACATTGTTACACGAGAATTTTATATATAAGATTAGTATATACTTGCAGTATTACTATAATGCTGAACAACATTTATTTAAAAGAGCAACAACAGTAACGCATTTTTTTCTCATTCTTGTCTGAGTCAATGAGTCTTTCTGAATGATTGGTATCTAATATATATATATATATTAGATACCAATAAAATAAATAAAATATGTATATCATATTTTATTTATTTTATAAATAAAAAAATATTTATAATATTTGGTATAACAAATATTATTCTATTCAAAAGTACCTACTTAAATTTAAATTATCTAAATGAAGATTGAAGGTAGGTGACATTGCTGGAGTCGAGTTTCAAGGTGTTTGGGGCCCAAGTCCCCACCAACATCACCTTCATGAAGGAGGACTACCAGGCAAAGGCGTGTAACGGCGCTACTGTGGCAGATTGCTGTCGTCTGTACCGTGACCACAGAGACAATTTATATTTATATTATTGTTTTATGTATATGTTAATGTATAAGGTATTTATAATTATGTGCCATTAATATCCTGTCCAAAATAATTCCAATAATCCTATCCTGAAATAAATAAATAAATTATCACTAATTTAATATAATCTAAATAAATTTAATTTTTAATAACCTAAATAAGTTTAGCCAGTAGATACTACCTTCATTGGATGGCCATTATTAGATAATATTGTTGTTTAACATATCGACCCAAATAACGATAGACATTTTGTGAATAGTGGTGGACAATTAGTTTAATTAAAAAAACATCGTTAATATTCTGTGGGTTCAATCAATGCAATTAAGGTTAAAAGTGATTTAATCTGAGACATGAGTAATGATTATGTAAGGTAGTTGTAATAGTTTACAATATTTAATAACAGCTATCACCGGCGACTTCGTCTAACTTGACTTTCATTCCCATTTTTTTATATAAAAATAATATTAAAGGGGTTCTAATAAGGGAAATATTATAAACTAGCGGCAGCCGCGACTTCACCCGCATGGAATTTAACTTTATTTTTCTAAAATAAGTTACTCCTTATTCCATCAGCAGTTCTGTCAAAATCAGTCCAGCTATTTCAGAGATTGATCGGAACAAACAGACCGACAGACAGACAGACAAAAATTTTAAAAAGTGTTGATTTGGTGTATGTAGGTACCGTATTTATATTTATATGGATGTAGTAAAAACCGGTTATTTCAATATTACAAACAGACACTCTAATTTTATTTATATGTAGGTATAGATGTATAGATAAATAAATAACCCTAGACAAATAACACAGCATCATCCAGTCTCACGGAAAGCAGAGCTCGTGTTATGGGTACCTGCCTACTAAATCACTGATATAAATACTTAGATTTTTTTAAATATCTTTATAATATACATTGAAAATACCCAGACCGATATGAACAATAATACCTACCTACCTAAATTTTGTTTATCAATTGCTTGGTGTCTAATTTTTTATTATTAGTAAATATTTATTTGTACCAGAAACATGAAGATACACAATATTATAGAAAAACGATGACTTACACAAAAATATGAAACTGTGTTGCGGCAAAAAATATTCGTTGGCCACTTTATAATATGTCCAAATATAAATGTTACACCGCAGTAATACTATACAACGTACTTAGGTACTTACATAATAACCGTGTATTCTAACCATTACCTAACATAACGTTACTTAGGTTAATCGTTTAATAATAATAAAAAACATTAATACTGGCGCCTCACTAATAGAAATTAACATTTTTTCCTACAATTCAAATGTTACTTTGCTTAATGCCTATTGATAAGGAGTCGCCTATGTAGGGTTGTCACTTGTAAATTGTTATAATTGTATTTCATTTCTTTATTTATATATGTTTTAACATAAATAAAGAAATGAAAAATCATTTCTGCACTTGATTTCTTTATTGGTGACGCACTATAATATACGAGATGAATGTCTAGGTGTACCTAATTTTATAAAAAAGAAACAAAACCATATAAAGAAAATAATACACCGTCCTCTTAAATCACTCTATCTATTGCTAAAAATTGCATTAAAATCCGTTGTGTAATTTGAAAGATATACCTTAGAGACAGCGACATTGTTTTATACTATGTAAAGAAGCTATTCAAAATTTAACACGCAAATAATATCAACCTTATGTACCTATTTATCTGAAAACACTGAAAAATCTGAGAAACATTTTGCAGTCAACAAATGACTGACATGATATGCCAATTAGGTATATTGGTAATGTATTGAGAACGTTCATAAAGTGATCATTTATTCAATTGTGGAATAATTAACTACTTAATGGATGGTCATAATGGTGTCTAATATATTAGCCATTTCTTTTTATAATTGCAATGGAAGCTTGCAAACGAAGCTGCTGTTGAGTCAAGAATGAAACAGAAAGATAAATCTTGCTGAAAGAAATAAATTTAAACAAAATTAATTTAGGAATATTTGAGATTATTCTATTAAAACCTGTAACGAAATTATCTGTACTAATTTATAAATTTGTAGTTAAAAGTTTATATCACTAATATTTGTGTTTAAATTTAATTAAATATAAAATACTAGCTGATCCGCGCCATTTCGTGTGCATCACACTTATCATTATATATCACCCAATTTACATAATATCTTTTTAAATTATAGCCTATGTGTTATTCTGATGTATAACCTATGTTACTGTAAAGTTTCATCAAAATCCGTTCAGTAGTTTTTGCGTCAAAGAGTAACAAACATCTCTCCATACTCACAAACTTTCGTATCTATAATATTAGTAAGATGTATGTGTGTAACTAATTAAGAAGCCAAGACGGACTAACATGCTCACTATTGTAATCCTACACGTAAGCTCCCAAATGAACAAAGAGAAAAAAAAAACGAACTGCTATCAAAATTAGGTGACATGAAAGTACCCACGTAAATGACTTTGTACAAACTGTTTAAGTTTGATTAAGATAAATTAGGAAATTGTTCTACAAATGGGCTAATAAATATTTGTATAATAGAATACGAGCAAACGTACACGTACTCTATTTATACTGATTCAATAGTTAGGAGCCATTTGAATATCTGAGGTTTAGAGATATCTTACTAATTATCACTATGTTTAGGTAAGAACAGGGATGAATGGAAGAGAGAAACGGCGTAATAACGCTGACCACAAGTAAATGGAATAAAGAAGAAGCAGATGATGATGATGATATCATGGAGTTTAGGTCTACTACTTTCATTAATAATAAATAAATAATCCTGGAACATAGCGCCACTTGGTCCCACGGTAGCAGAGCTTGTCATGGGTTATCATGGGTACTGGAGAACTGATATAAATACTTAGATATTTTTTTATTGTAAATGTATACATAATATACTCACATAGAAAATACCCAGGCTGATACAAACAGTCGTACTCTTGAATACAAATATTTGCACTGTGCGATGAATCGAACCTGCGGCCATCAGAAGTAAAGTGGTGAGCTAACGGTTTAGCCGTTAGACCAACATGGTCGTCATAATGTCTTTTGTCATACTGTCATATGTGTGAAGCAGCTTACTTTGTAAGATATTCTGTTGTACTATGACATAAGACAGGGAAATAACAGGGTACGCAGGCATCTTAGTCCTTGTAACTGGTCATGTAGGTACTATAAGTTAGGCTTTGTTTGTTTAAACACTTTCCCACCAAATTAGGTCTATCTGAAGATTATATATTACAATATAAATACAAATAAACATACAGACAAACACATATCTACACTACCTACAACCTAGATACTTGTAGATTTAATTAAAGAAGTAAAATAACAGAATTTTTGACTATTATTTTTGATTATTATTATAATTGATTTTTGACTAATCTCGGAATGCGACAGTGAGTGGGCCATGTTCAGAAATATTTAAAAGTATATTATTACATATTTCTTACAGATAACTATTTTACTTCAATAATCCAATGAATCCTCTAAATTCGTAATTATTAATAATATATAATATTCATTCAATAAACAGTATTACTTAAAAAAAGAAAAAGTATTAGTGAACATAGGATATCATACTCAGTACCATAAATTTAAAAGAGCTCCGCGTTTTATTGGTCGGGTATATGAATAACAAAAAAATATAAAGTCGTTTCTTTTTTAATAGCAACTCCACGATTGGCTGATCGATCTACATAAAAAGCTCGACGCCCCTTCACGGCGCCTCCTTCCAATGAGTCTCCTTTTTATACGCGCTGCTTTTTTATTCATAAAAAAGTTCTATGTGGCAAGGGAAATATCACAGAAAGTCTAAAATAGAAATCGTGTTCATATTCATTATAATCAGTAAAGTATGTAGTTACTTAAGTTATTTGTTCGCTCCTTCCTTTATTAGTACTTGTTTAGTGAAATAAATTTATTACTGAAACGAATTAGAAATTAATATATTTAATAAAATAACTATAAACAGACTATAACACAAATATCGCATTAACAATAGAAAAACAATCTCATTTCCCTACATAACAATATTTTATTGTCTAATAATAACCGATAGCATAACGCATTCAGTTTATTACAATAACAACTTCTGCCAAGGGATGCTTATTTTTTTATTATTAATATCGCATAAACAATAACTTAATAAGTTAATCCCCACCCCACAGTAGCTCGCGTCGTATTGGTTCGAGTAAAAATAGGCTGTGGGGGCGCGACAGAGACGTGTATATCTGTAGATATCGACCTCTTGCTTACACCACAAAACTCGTCGCCTTCGAATGTAGAATACATTTATCGATGTTTGGGGCATAAAAATTGACAGGCTTTTTTCAGTTGATTGCAAGACGCAGTGCCGGTTAGACCATATCGCTCCGAGCGCGCGTGTTGAAGGGTTGTCCCAAAAAAACGTTGCTTATTTATTTGTGTTTATTAAATAGTGACTTTAAGACTATAGTGATTACAAATTAATGTCTACATTAGTGCATTGTGTTTAGAGACATACGCAAAGAAGAAAGGTAGGTGTTAATCGTTTTACTTAAATTTTTTATCACATTTCATTTTTTAATATTAAGTATAACCATATTTTTATTTATATGTAATACTTAGGGTGTTAGTAGCTGCTAACTTTAATAGAACTTCAGTTACTTAAAACGAAGATTATATTGTTAGTTATTTAATTTTATTTGTCAACTAGATAATACCTTTGAAAAGAATGTAATTATTCGTAGATATTTTTTTCCAATGTTTTTTCTAGTTTTCCCAGTTAAACCAAGTTAAATATTTCTTTTACAATTCTCAATATATAGTCTAGGTATTAGGTATACATGTATAATATATATATTTATTTTAAGAAACAAAAATTATATAGTTTTGACCCAAAATAGATTGCATTACAAGTACTAACTTTCAAAAATTTTAAACTAAAAGAACTTTACCCTCTACTACTATATTATCATACCAGTCCACCTACCTACATAGAACGAGGGCATAAAATCACTCTTAATTCAAATATATTAAAGGTTATCATCACGAAAATACATATATAAATAGGTTCATTTGTAAGGGATGAATGAACCAAATTATATTTAATATCACCTATGCGTATTAATAAACCTATAACGATATTCCTGTATCATGCCTTTATTCTCAAAAGATCTCACGGACAGTCTGACAGTTATATACTTTGGTCTAGATTACTATTATTGTTATTATTACTTGTATAAAAAAAAATGTGTTTGTTTTTAATAGATAAACTAGGGACATACTTAAGCGGTTTTAAATTATTTTTCGTGTATCTATACACAGTTACATTATCATTTAGTTTAATTGCTACTTTGAGAGAATATCTTTAAAATACTCTCTGTAATATTATTACATAAAAGTAGTTATTTAAGTAGGTAGGTACATCTAAATTTACACAATCATGGAGATTAAGTTATATACTTACTTACTGCGTTATTTAAAGAAATTGTTTTAATTGCTTAATTAAGTACCTAACTTGTCAATGTTATATAAATGTATAAACATGAAATAAATATATTATTCTATTTTATATATCTTGCATTCTATGGCTAATAGTAACAATTTGTTTTGCCGTCGGAGCTAGAAGAAAAACAACTTGCATTATCAAAAAAACTCTATATAATATTACAACTCCTGTCACAAATAGTTCAAAAATAAAAAAATAATCATGTAATTAGGTACATTATTGTTCCCTAAAGAGTTGTTGGAATCTTTTTTATAAATAATACCCATCATTAGTAACTAACTAATAAGTAATTAGGTGCAAAAATCGCGACAATGACGCCATATTACGTGATCAAACCTTTCCGCATTTTACATTGAAGTACTTGCTTCGTAAGCGAATATTTACGATTGTTTACATTACACAATATTGGCGGTAAATGAAAATGCATAATAATGTATACCTGTATGTATGGAGGCATGAGACCTATATGCACACGGAGTAATGCATGTCTGGTCTACGACATAAAATCCATGGTGCTATTCATTACATATTCTACTAGCTGACCCGCGCAACTTCGTCTGCATTATACTTACTTGACATTTATCATTATATTTCGCCCAATGCCTTTTTAAATTATAGCCTATGTGTTATTCTCATGTAAAAGCTATATCACTGTAAAGTTTCATCAAAATCCGTTCAGTAGTTTGTGTGTGAAAGAGTAACAAACATCCATCCATACTTACAATCTTTCACGTTTATAATATTAGAGATGGTTTCCACTGACCATAATGAGTATGCCATTCCATTAATTAAAAAAATACATGTAATTTTCTTTATCATAGGTATGATAAGCTGCGCATCCCCCGCCGGCATGCCGCCAGCGCCGCACTCCGCTCACACCCAGCCTTGGGGTCCCCTTCTTCAACCGCCTGCTGTGGTAAGCTGATCTTATTTACACAAATATAATCCCTTATAATTTATGTTTATCATATATATAACAACATGAACACCGTGACCAATGTTCTTTAAATATCTTTCTAGAAGGCGGAACCAATGGACGATGCCAGCTATTCAAAAGAACAAACCAGTGGATTTTACTCCGAAGGGTTTCACAGCGCCTCTCCTTCATCCTCTAGTAAGGACTCCAACGGTCACTCCCCACGCAGCGTCGGCAGCGCTGGAGAACCATCGCCTTTCTATGATAACCTGCCGCTTAAAGCCAAGGCCAATTTAGGAGTACATTTAGATTCATACCGCGGTGGAGTACCTTACAGCTTACTTACACCTCCGAGTTTCGAGCATCGAACAAACGATGGACGTGAACCATCACCAGGTTTTGATACTTCATACTCCCCGAGATCACTAGTACCGCCTGCTCACGTTTCCACGCCCCTAGCTCGTGCAGATGCTACACCTCCAAAATCACCCAGAACACCTTCCTCGCCAGAACGGGATCACGAGAGACGATCATTTGAAAGATTTCACGATTCTGGATTTGATGGTGTTCAGAATAAACAAGATATTGACGATGGTCGCGATGGGTCAGGCCTTGAGGATGACTTTGATGAGGAACCAGGACTCAGGGTTCCAGCTGTAAATTCTCATGGTAAAGTGAAAACATTCAAATGTAAGCAGTGTGAATTCGTAGCGGTTACGAAACTTAGTTTTTGGGAGCACAGCAAGGAGCATATTAAACCAGAAAAAATGTTATGCTGCCGCAAATGTCCGTTTGTAACCGAATACAAACACCATCTTGAGTACCACATGAGGAATCATTTAGGATCAAAGCCATTTCAATGCAGTCAGTGCTCGTATTCGTGCGTCAACAAATCCATGCTTAACTCTCACCTCAAATCACATTCGAATGTTTATCAATACCGCTGCGCGGATTGCAACTATGCAACAAAGTATTGCCATTCATTAAAACTACATTTACGCAAATATCAGCACAACCCTGCAATGGTACTTAACATAGACGGCACGCCAAATCCCCTCCCCATAATCGACGTATACGGAACGCGACGTGGTCCTAAACAGAAGCCACTTTCAAAGATCTTTGAACAACAAGTATCCATGAACAACAATAGCAGTCAACCGCAGCCCCCGCCACCAACCCATCCTCTATTCGGAAGTCATTTTCCAGTAAATTTACCTTACTTGCCACCACTTTTACCTCACTCTTTCCTCTTCCCTCCAAACAATAACTATGAACAAAGAACATCACCGAAACAATGTGAGATGATTCCTGATAAGCAAGCGACGTCACCGCCTCCCTCAATTTTACACCAACGCCTTTCTTACGGAGAGCGTCCATCAGAGGTCGGAACTACCACACCACCCGCAACATCTCCAGCGAGTTTACCTCGCACACCAACTACAAGAAACTCTTCTCCAATACAAACAAACGACGCTCTTGATCTTACTAATGGAAAAAGTAGCGAGGCAGGCTCACCACCACCTACAGAACAACATGCGCCTGTAACACCTACAACGGCACTCAAAAATAGAAGAAAGGGTCGTGCTTTTAAACTGCAACCTGCAGCTTTAAGACTACAACATCAAGATGAAAAAATGCGTGAAGCAGAAGCCTCAGATTCTGAATCCGACGAAGAAGCGCCACCAACCACGGCTCAAAACACTTACTCTTGTCAGTACTGCGATATTACTTTCGGCGATCTTACAATGCACACGATACATATGGGTTTCCATGGTTACAATGATCCCTTCATGTGTAACAAGTGCGGAGAGAGGAGCGGCGACCGCGTCGCCTTTTTCATTCATCTCGGCCGAGCTCAACACGCCTAGCTTTTCTGAGTCGCTTTGTAATAATCCTAGTCAACACATTCTTATCTAGTTATGTGAGCCGAAATGACGTTTAACTATAGAGTTGTAGAAAAGGGTAAAATGTAGATAGCGTCAATTTAGAATTTAATTTGATACGAGTTCTAAATTGATTTATACGGCCAAAGATTATAAGTACAGCTGAGAATCATGAATACAATCTGTTCTTATTCTATTTTATAAGAGAACGTAATTATAGTAATAACGGTGTGTTTGTTATAAATATTTATTCTTTATTCTGTATTCAAAAATTCGGACTATGTAAAATTACGTTCCTCTAATTTGTATATAAGTAGGTATCTAAATAGGTAAATGTCGGTAAGCTTGACATTAGTAGATAGTTTAGAAGATAATTAGGTTAGATTGAATACATAGACATGTGTTTAACCCTGTGTTATATAGCATTTAGAAACGTGTGACCAATATGTAAACAAGACTGTATATCTTGATTAAGTACAAAAGAACGAACATGTTTCCGTTTTGTTTTACCTGAATTTCATCTTAATTTCTTATTAATCGATATATTACATGTTTGAATAATACCTATACGAACTTTAGAGCAACAATTAATGATAAAATAGTTAACTGAACAATTTATAATCAGTCTGAAATGTATTATAATATGAATAGATTATTTAAAAACATTGTACAATATTTTAAAAACGGTGAAGTTACCTATTAGTTAATAAAAGACGTAGGAATATGCTAAGAGTAGCAAGGTAGGTGTAATGTAATAATTATTTAATTAAGCGAATCAGAGTGTATTTATATGAACCGAGAAGAATTTATTTTATTTATTTATCCAATGGTGTAATGTGTGATAATGTTGTTTTACATACTTGTCAGGTGGTACGTAGGTACTGAGAATTTCTGTTTTAAGAACTATCGTTTACACAATGGTGAAGATGTTGTATTGTCATTGCGGATGTCTGGCTTGGAATTATTTTTCATAATGCGATATGTAAGTACAATTCTTCATTCCATGTTTGGGTTACAGGTTGTAATAATTGATAGACTATTTTAGTACAGCTTAAGTTACATTGCTGCGTCGATTAAATATTTTAAATAACAATGTCTAATTTGACTACTTATAATATCCAAACTTTTAAAATGTCTGAAACACAATTTACATATATCTACCGAAAAATCATTATTTAACAACCAAAGGTTTCTTAGTTTCTTACATTTATACACTATAAATATTAAGTCGAAGCAGCTGTGGTAACTGGCATTAAAATTCGAAATTGAATTTCTTATTAAGTACCATATTATGTACCTTCTTTAATGTACACAAAATGTAAAATGCAAAATTGTGTAATTAAAAATCCAATAGAATATCTGTGTATGATATTTAAGTTATTGAAAGAAATCGTGTTTATTATTATAATTATTGGAGAGATTCCTTTGTGTGCTGGATACATAACAATAAAAATCAAAGTTTTACGCTGACTTTCGTATTTTATTTTATAAAATCATGCAACTTACTTCACCTACTATTGTAGATCCGTAAATATCATGGTGAGTATTCCATACATTTTCTAAATGTTCCATTGAACACATAGAACAAGACAACAGATTTAGAGTAGGACAGTACCAAGGTAAAATGTACCAAATCATAACAATGTCTGTACAGATTGCGAAAAGCGTTACTTTTTTATTCAAAATAGTCAACCATAACAAAGGAAACAAAGACATTCTGCCGAACGCACGGTAGCCGATACTTAGTGGTAACTTGGTATAAAAATAACATATTCTTTTGTTTCAAACTGATTGTTATTTATGAAGCGGCTATTTTTTTACGGAACAATACTATTTTTGTCACCGCTACGGGTAAAAACTTTGTATTAATATTCATGAATTTCGCGTTCGCCGAATATATATTTGAATGACTTAAGCAATGTGACCTGTCTATTTTTTGCTTCATCCAAATTGCTTTAATTACACGGTAATCGTTGATAAATATAGAACATAAATTTGAATATCTATTTTCGATGACTTATATGCCTTGTAACTAAATTTAAATATTGCGTTTAGCGGACAAATCAATTTTTTCTGGTCTCATGCAGTATTTGTAGTTTTTCTATATTAACTACCAAGTAACTATATATTATATAGTACCTACTTACATAGTCACAGTCAATGTAACATTATTAAGCATTGTAGGTATATATCATTTAACATGCTTATTATTTAGTTTATGCACTATGTAAGTATTTAAGTAACTTATACCACAGTAATATTCTATGTATAATATAGTAGGGTAAGCAGGGGCAATAGCGCTCCCCGGGTAATGGCGCTCACCTCTGTAACTCTATCAAAATGGAATGTAGCACCACGCTACGTTGCTTAAAGCACGAGGATAGGTAGCCTCTAAAAGACAACAATGCAAACAGACAGTCAGCTCGCGTCATGTGACCGCGAAGTGCAGATTAACGTTTGCGGCCAAACTGATAATAAAACTATTCTATTTTATGATAATGCAATCAATTTTTAACAATTGATCATAAATTTTTTAAATTTATAATTAATTACAAAACGTCCGGTTGGGCGCCATTACCCCTTTGTGACTTAATTTTTTATTGTTGTAGATATGCTAAGAAAACGTCAAAGGCTCTAAAGTTGTTAGACCAAAAAGACCGAAAAAGACCTCCAATCAGCTAAAACAATGATTAAAATAAAGTTTGTCCAAAAGAATGAAAAAAACATGATAAAAAATCTTACATTTACATGAAAAAGAAAAATTTACATGAAAATTCTTCAAATAAATAGCACCTTTGCGATGACGACAGTGACGACAAAATGAATGTGCATGATAGAAATTATAACAAATGTATTATTTAACAGGAATTTGGAAAAAATAAGAATTCTGATATCGCTGCACCATCTGTGGACTGTGGGCTCGATAGATACATATATTACTTATGTATCCAAGGATAAAATATTTTTATTTCTAATTTGTCTTACCTCTAATAATTATTATTATTTTATATTATATTACAAACATTGAAGTTGTATTATTTAAGATTGATCTTATGAATATTTCTTTAATTAATATATTTTACTGGTTATTAGACATTACCCCGTACCCTAAGCGGCATTACCCATAGTCAGGGGCAATGCCGCTCAAACTTTTAAATAATGTCTTCCTACTACTAGTAGAATAAAGTTATACGCTTTTGATGTAAAATTGTTCGTTACTCAATAATTAAAGACCTTGTTACTTTTCTTAATTTTGATTTGCAATAAATAATTAATAAAATACATCATGTTTTCCTTAAGTGAACGCCGTTCACCCTTCTTCCCCTATAATTAATTTATAATAAAGTAACTAAATAAATTTGAGGACCATAAATGATATAATTATATTTCGATACCAATAAATATTACCTTTTACAGAAATACTTAGTAGTAGAAATATTGTTTAAAATTAATATATTAAATAAAATCTTATTCCTATACCTACCTAGGATTTATACAAATTCGTGGACATGAATAAAAACGTGTCAACTGTACAGAAATAAAAAAATACGCAAATAACATACTCAAAGCCTTTCCAAGAATTACTCGATGCACTTTTTCTTTTGCATAGTATCATAATAATAAATGTATGGCGTTGAGATAGAACCCACTACCCGAATGCTTCATTGTCGGTGACCCAAATCCAGCGGATGTTGCAGTTTTCAATGGACGAGATTAAAAAAATCTGATAAAAAGAATTCTCTGTGTGATAGGTGTAGTGTGGAACAAAAACAGCGTGGAGTAGCAAAATGTACTGAATTGTATTGTCAAACCAAACATAAAAACCTGTAAAAACATAAAATTATAAAAAATACGATAGAAAATTACTTCTATTAAGTTTTCTTGATTTAAAATTATTACAAGTAAGTAAACAATACAAGAACTATTAGAAATAAATGTTGTATGTATACTTATAATAAAGTATTTAACATAGTATATATTAGTATATATTACTGTTTACTAAGTATCTAGTATTACCAATACAGACTCATCATCCTTTAGAACTCCATAGCATGTTGATTCTTGGTTAAGAAAAAAGTACAAAATATAAAACTCAATAAAAATAAAAAACAAATAACTCAGTTCATTTTTTTTCTAATTTATTGTCTACTCAATATAGACAATAAATTAGAACATTACACAGTACACAGTATTTACTTCCACTCTACAGATGTTCTATTCCTATAACTTTTTAAATAAAACTTATATCTGCAACTGAATGGAATAAAGAATAAAGTTTTTCGTCAGGTTCGTGCCGACTCCACGCAGGTGTCTTTGCAGGCTCTTACAAAAAAATTTAAAACCTGCAAAACACGCGTCTGTGAGTCACAAAATATATACATTCATGGACATTATCGTTTTTTTAATGCGAACTTTTGTATACTTTATACCCACCTATCGTCCTAAAAGTTTTTGAATAAAGTACTTTGAATTTTTTCTTAAAATTCATGATCTTTTTTATCTAACGGCATATTATGGAATGGCACATTGACGGACCACCTGATGGTAAGTGGCAACCGTCGCCTATATACATGAACAGCACCATAAATAAATGTAACTCCTCATGCGTTATCATTCCAAATGACTACGATGTCATACTTCGTTTACTACCATATCTCATGCTTATACGGAAACACCAAGCACTTATTTACATATATACATGAACAGCAACATTATCAACTTCGTATTAGCATAGTATCGTTCTGTATGAAAATAATAATTAAAATTTTATAAACAAATAAAAAAAAAATAAGAATATTAGAAGGCAGAATGTACTTTAAAAAACTCAATAAAACTTTTCGCAATATTTCAATATAAAAAATTGCAAACACTAAATCATAGGTGGGTACTGATTTCTTCTCATCTATCAAAAGGCGGCGCCAGTGTTATAATGATACCTTTTACCACCTACAATCGACTACTAATTTGTGATTATTCACACTCTCCCTTCGCAACTTGGTTTTGTACAAAACCAAATTTCATAATAAAACCATTAATCACTGTTATTAAAAAAACGGTTACATTCTTCGGATGTTTTATTGTAACGTAACGATGTATCACTGATTGATTTGTGCAAGTTTTTAAGCAATTATATAATTACTACATTATGATTCATAACTGCATACCTCATATATTAGGTACTATTACATACATTACCGTTGTTTTGTGAGTAACTACTGTCATACGTATTAATTTTATTTGTCACAAAGAACATTGCATCTCTCATATTTGCGGTATTGGCTATATTTAGTTAAAAACATAATATCTATGTAATTCAGCAATTTTATATTCTTAATGAAGTAAATAAATTCTCATATTAAATATCGATAAATTAGCTAATTACCGACTCACTCGGTAGTACAAGATATATCATATCAATAATTAGTTTTACAGATATCAAAATTTGGCTAATATATTGGTTAAATTAATAAAAAATGTGATATAAGTCGAAGTAGGAAGTTCGATATCTCTTGCGGTTTACCACGGAGTCTGTTCTAACATTTTTGTGTTTTTTTATTATTATTTTATGATAACAAAGAGACCTTATCAAATTTGCAGTCGTTTGCGTGAGACAATTGGAGATAAAAAAGATGTAGAGTAACAATTCACTATACATATATATAGGGAGCTAAAAAATATTCCAGTCATTGAATTTCTTACCTACGTAGATAGATCAGAATTTCAATGGGTATATAGGTAATATAGGTACATTTTATGTAACTAGAATATCAAACATAACGGCACGCCGGTATGGTAATGGTAAGTGGTAACTGACGCCCTTACGAAGGCCACCACGAACATCACATCATCTGGCATTACCTACCATTCCTGTAAAATTATTGCCATATCTCACTACCCCTTCTACTACCCTTCTACTAAAACAATCTGCTTCGCGGCTAAAATAGATGAGTCAGAAGTTCCTACCCAGATGACTGCTTACAAATTACTTCGGTAAAATAATAATGACTAAAATGAAAATAGTTATTATATAAAATAGTCCCATATGTTTCATACTGGCCACTATTAGTGATATCGGCTGGTCTTTTAAAAATAAAATATTTAATCGTTAAATAAAAACTTCATGTGGGCGTTGTAGGCGGCACGCTCCGAAACCTCGAAAAGTACCGTTTTTTTATTATACTTAATTCTTTTTTCAAATTCGGTTTTTACTAAGAACTTAAAGGTTTTTATTTCACAATGCCAGCTGTTGTTTGATGACCACTCGTGGTGTACGATTTTTTGTTCAGAGTGCAAAGACCGTGTTAGCGATACTGTGATTGAAGTGGTCTATCCAGGAAAATATCAAAAGAAATGAGACACCAGATGCTTTCGTCATCTATTTACATTTAATTTCAGTTTCGTACTTTTATAAATTGGTAGTCTTAAG